TCGTGAGTCGGCAGGACTATGGGAATGAACGACGTCATTCCTCTGTTGCACGTCCTGGAACAAATGCTGTTAACAATGGCTGGTCAGCGGTGCGGTAGACGTGGCGCACAGATCTCAACGCCACATGACCCCTGTGGGGGCAGGACAGGAAAGAAGAGGAGGAGGTAGAGGAGTGACATTGGTGCTCAGGAATTATTGAGTGAAATGGGTGGTTTTTTTTCCACTCAGCGGACAGGAGTGGAGGAGCAGGAGCATCTGGTAGAGGAGGAGGAGACAGAGGACCCAGACGCACCGTGGCAGTATGCTGTGGAGATGGAGGCAGGGAGTCCCCTCGCATTCCTTGGCACAAATGGCCCATAGCATGCTCGGTTGCTTGCGTAGCGACAGCCAGAATAATAACCATCAGACAGAGGGATGAATTTTGGCTTGTCCACTTTATTGGACCCCTCGCTACCGTTCAAAAATGGTGGCCTTTTTTAACACCTGCTGAGAGGGAGGCCAAAAAAATAACGTACTATAAAAAACCACCTATGTAGTCAGTTGGTCTCCATGCCTTTCTGCGCCAACGTCCATCCACTCAGACACTGTGGGCCCTGTGCGCTCGCGTTCCGCTGCCCATGGCAGCAGGGGAGGGGAGGGGTGGGGTGGTAGGAGCAGTGGCAGCTCCACCTCAGCAGCGGCTGCCTCAGTCTGCAGTCGATGATGAGTAGCTTTCTTCACCAGCGCAGTGAGGAAACTACTAACCACCGCAGCAGCAGCAGCATCAGGTGGACCTGAGCAGACCTCAAACAACAGGCTTGGGCCTACTTGGACAGCACCCTGCCAACCGAGGTAGACAATCCCCTTGACTACTGGGCAACGAAACTTGACCTTTGGCCCTCAACTAAGCTGAATTTTTTCTGCCCTTGAAAGGCTGTCATGCCCGGCCAGTAGCGTGGCATCGGAGCGCGCGTGTTTTTAGTGCGGCAGGAGGTATTGTAACTCCGCGGAGGACACGACTGTCCACCCAAAGTGTGGGAGAGAACTCACGTTTGTAAAAATGAATCAGGCGTGGATTAGTCTGGATTTCAAACCACACCAGTTCCTGACACAACTGACTAAATCTGCCATGAATCATGCCCCAAACATCTTATTATTTTTAACATAGGCCTCTGTATGGCCTTCAATTTAAGCTGCTTGACGCTTATCGCCACTCTGCCATGGGCCCCTGTACCCTGTACCGCCTCCTCTTAGCTGCTGCCAGGTCCAGAGTGTCTCATGGGTCCCCCTGTACAGCCTCCCATTCTTGCTGCTGTCTCCATCGCCACACTCTGCCATGTGCCACTTTCAGGTCTCCTCACACTGCTGGTGGGTTCCATTTTGTCATAGGGTGCTGGCAGATTTACGGGCCTCCCATTGCTGCTGCCAGGCCCGTAATCTGCCATGGGCCCCCGGTACCGACTCCTCATGAGTCTGCTGCCAGGGTCCAGAGTGTCCTCATGGGTCCCTGTACGGCCTCCCATTGCTGCTGTCTCCATTCCATCGCCACACTCTGCCATGTGCCACTTTTAGGTCTCCTCACTACTGCCTGGTGGGTTCCATTTTGTCATGGGTGCTTGGCAGATTACGGGCCTCCCCATTGCTGCTGCCAGGCCCGTAATTTGCCATGGGCCCCCCCCGTACCGACTCCTCATGCTGCTGGCCAGTCCCGTAATCTGTCATGGGCCCCTGTACCGCCTCCTCATGCTGCTGGCCAGGTCCAGAGTGTCCCTCATGGGTCCCTGTACGGCCTCCCATTGCTGCTGTCCCTCCATCGCCACACTCTGCCATGTGCCACTAATTCAGGTCTCCTCACACTGCTGGTGGGTTCCATTTTGTCATAAGGGTGCTGGCAGATTACGGGCCTCCCATTGCTGCTGCTGCCATGGCCCGTAAATCTGCCATGGGCCCCCGTACCGCCTCCTCATGCTGCTGCCAGGGTCCAGAGTGTCTCATGGGTCCCTGTACGGCCTCCCATTGCCTGCTGTCTCCATCGCCACACTCTGCCATGTGCCACTTTCAGGTCTCCTCACACTGCTGGTGGGTTCCATTATGTCATAGGGTGCTGCGCAGATTACGGGCCTCCCATTGCTGCTGCCAGGCCCGTAATCTGCCACATGGGCCCCCGTACCGACTCCTCATGCTGCTCTGTCAGGCCCGTAATCTGTCATGGGCCCCTGTACCGCCTCCTCATGCTGCAGCCTTGCAGGTCCAAGTGTCTCATGGGTCCCTGTACGGCCTCCGCCATTGCTGCTGTCTCCATCGCCACACTCTGCCATGTGCCACTTTCAGGTCTCCTCACACACTGCTGGTGGGTTCCATTTTGTCATAGGGTGCTGGCAGATTACGGGCCCTCCATTGCTGCTGCCAGGCCCCGTAATCTGCCATGGGCCCCCGTACCGCCTCCTCATGCTGCTGCCAGGTCCAGAGTGTCTCATGGGTCCCTGTACGGGCCTCCCATTGCTGCTGTCTCCATCGCCACACTCTGCCATGTGCCCACTTTTCAGGTCTCCTCACACTGCTGGTGGGTTCCATTTTGTCATAGGGTGCTGGCAGATTACGGGCCTCCCATTGCAGTTGCTGCTGCCAGGCCCGTAATCTGCTATGGGGCCCCCGTACCCGACTCCTCATGCTGCTGCCAGGTCCAGTGGTCTCATGGTAGTCCCTGTACGGCCTCCCCATTGCTGCTGTCTCCATCGCCACACTCTGCCATGTGTATCCACTTTCAGGTCTCCTCACACTGCTGGTGGGTTTCCATTTTGTCATAGAGTGCTGGCAGATTACGGGCCTCCCATTGCTGCTGCCCCCCCCAGGCCCGTAATCTGCCATGGGCCCCCGTACCGCCTCCTCATGCTGCTGCCAGGTCCAGAGTGTCCCTCATGGGTCCCTGTACGGGCCACCCATTGCTGCTGTCTCCATCGCCACACTCTGCCATGTGCCACATTTTCCAGGTCTCCTCACACTGCTGGTGGGTTCCATTTTGTCATAGGGTGCTGGCAGATTACGGGCCTCCCATTGCTGCTGCCAGGCCCGTAAATCTGCCATGGGCCCCCGTACCGACTCCTCATGCTGCTGCCAGGCCCGTAATCTGTCCATGGGCCCCTTGTACCCGCCTTCCTCATGCTGCTGCCAGGTCCAGAGTGTCTCATGGGTCCCTGTACGGCCTCCCATTGCTGCTGTCTCCATCGCCACACACTCTGGCATGTGCCACTTTCAGGTCTCCTCCACACTGCTGGTGGGTTCCATTTTGTCATAGGGTGGCTTGGCAGATTACGGGCCTGTCCCATTGCTGCTTGCCAGGCCCGTAATCTGCCATGGGCCCCCGTACAACACTCGCTAACACCTGCCCTCCTCAATGCTGCCTGCCAGGTCCAGTGTGTCTCATGGGTCCCTGTACGGCCTCCCATTGCTTGCTGTCATCCATCGCCACACACTCTGCCATGTGCCACTTTCAGGTCTCCTCACACTGCTGGTTGGGTTCCATTTTGTCATAGAGTGCTGGCAGATTACGGGCCTCCCCAATTGCTGGCTGAGCCAGGCCCGTAATCTGCCATGGGCCCCCGTCACCGCCCTCGCCTATCCTCATGCTGCTGCCAGTCCAGAGTGTCTCATGGGGTCCCTGTACGGCCTCCCATTGCTGCTGTCTCCATCGCCACACTCTGCCATGTGCCACTTTCAGGTCTCCTCACACTGCTGGTGGGGTTCCATTTTGTCCATAGGGTGCGGCAGATTACGGGCCTCCCCATTGCTGCTGGCCAGGCCCCCGTAATCTGCCATGGGCCCCCGTAACCGACTCCTCATGCATGCTGCCAGTCCAGAGTGTCTCATGGGTCCCCTGTACGGCCTACCATTGCTGGCTGTCTCCATCGCCACACTCTGCCATGTGCCACTTTCAGGTCTCCTCACACTGCTGGTGGGTTCCATTTTGTCATAGGGTGCTGGCAGATTACGGGCCTCCCATTGCTGCTGCCAGGCCCGTAATCTGCCAAGGGCCCCCGTACCGCCTCCTCATGCTGCTGCCAGGTCCAGAATCAGAATGTCTCATGGGTCCCTGTACGGCCTCCCATTGCTGCTGTCTCCATCGCTCACACTTAGTCTGCCATGTGCCACTTTCAGGTCTCCTCACACTGCTGGTGGGTTCCATTTTGTCATAGGGTGCTGTATGGGCCTCCCATTGCTGCTGCCTCCACCGCCACACTGTGGCTCCACACTCTGGTTTTGGCCCCGTGACTGCCCAAATGAGTGAAGTGTGCGGTGATTCTAAGATCGACGGCACTCATCTGCATGTCATACTGACTGACAGTATTATTTCTCTTCCCCAGCAGACTCCAAGGGCATTTAAATTAAAGGTACAGTGTTCTGCACTAATATAAAGGCTCTCTGAAGCCTAGAAACACCCTTTTTATAAGTTAAATTCGCAGCGAATATATTTGCCTCGAATCGAATTTATTCCTCGAATTCGCCGAATCAGCGAATCGAATTTTTGAATACTTCGCTCATCTCTACTGACTACTTCACCAACCTGATCCCCCAAGTACCGCCCTACCCCGTAACCTTCGCTCCTCACTGGACCTCCTTCTATCCTGCTCCCTGGTCTCCTCCTCCCATGCACGACTGCAAGACTTCTCCAGTCCTCCCCCATCCTCTGGAACTCACTGCCCCAATCCATCAGACTGTCGCCTTCCCTCTTCACATTCAGGAGTGGCGCTCCCTCAAAACCCATCTCTTCAGAGAAGCCTACCCCACCCTCACCTAATGGCCATTCTCCCTCTTTCCTCCCACCCCTCATTCCCCTCAGCCACTTCCTACTGTACCTTTACCCCCTCCCTCCTAGATTGTAAGCTCGAAAGAGTAGGGCCCTCTTACCCCTCGTACGTTGTTTGTTATTGTTGTACTGTGCCATGTATTGTCCCCCCCTCTATTGTACAGCGCTGAGCAAACCCTTTGGCGCTATATAAACTCGATGTAATAATAATAGTAATGTGCCACACTCAGTGTGATATACCATTTTGCTAAGCCTTATAATTAATTTGAACTGTGTTCATGTTCATCACCACCTGTGTTTAATTTAAATCTTATTTTTTTGTTGCTCGTTCAATTCTGTTCTCAGCTCCTTTTTCCCCACTTCTCTAAGTATGGGAGAGGATCAGAAACCTCCAGATCAGTAAGGATCTTGTAAGTCCTGGAGGTAACATGTTTTCGTATTATGTTTGAATGCAACATTTTTTGTAATGGATATATATCCTCCAGCGTCCCCTCAGCTGTTGTGGTGGGTGGTGCTGCAACAAAATGTCCTAGCTGGTAGTACTGCCATTCATACCCTTTAAGTCTTGAAAAGTGTGCAATTTCCCCTTATCGACGATATCCTTCAAACTTGCATTTCTATCTTTGACCCTCTTTCCTGAAATATTGTCTTTCCCAGGTGGAAAATACTCCGTGCCCACCAGAGGAATCAATACTGAATTGTATTTCCAATCCACTTGCTTATTGCAGTGCATCCCCCACTCTTAGTACCTTATGTGTCAATGTGTTTTCTCCCAAAATACAAAACTTGTGTGGTATCCAAATAGTCTTTTCTAATTGTGCCTTACTTAGAACACCTTCCATAATTGCCCAACATTTCCCATGTGCGTTATGTGTCCAATCTACAATACGTGACAGTAATAATGAATAATAGCATTTCCTAAAATTATGTAAATTTAACCCCCCGTTCTCTTTTTTTTTACTCAATACTTCATATTTAATTCTTGGTTTCTTATTAGCCCAAATAAACCTGAGTATTAGTTTCTTTAATGTTCCAAAGAAGGACCCTGGTATATGTACTGAGAGCATGTGAAAATTATATAAGATTTTTGGCACTATTATTGTCTTTATCAAATTTATGTGACCTAACCAGGATCTCCATCCCCTTGAAAGTCCCCCCCAACTCATCTTTTATTTCATTTATTAATGGGACATAATTTACTTGGTATAAATTCTTTACTGATAACGTTAGTTTTATACCCAGATAACTTATTTCCCTTTCCCTCCAGGAAAATGGGAACTCTTTTTGTATGGCCTGCTTTGTTTTTGGGAGACTAGTATTCAAGATCTCCGACTTTGAGGGGTTTACCTTCAGATTTGATAACTCTCCATATTTTTTTAACAGTCTCAATACATTTGGTAGCGAGAATCTGGGGTTCACCATATAGAACAACATGTTGTCTGCATAGGCTGCTACCTTATGTTCCACTTCCTCTATCTTAATTCCTGTTACATATACACTCTTTCTGACCATCTCCAATAAGGGCTCCAAAGATATTACAAATAACAGGGGATATAATGGACATCTCAGTCTTGTACCATTATTCATTTAAAAAAACTGTGAAAGGGACCCGTTTACCTTTACTGCAGCTGATGGTCCACTGTAAAGCCCTTTTATCCATTTTAGGCCCTAAACCAAACGCCTCTAAAGTATCCATCATAAAACCCCAGTCTACCCTATCAAAAGCTTTTTCGGCATCAATTGACAAAATTGTTGTTGGCAGCTTCTCTTTTTGCGAAAGAAATAGTGATCTCAATCTATTGTCCCTCCCTTCTTTTCCTGGGATGGATCCCACCTGATCCAGGTGTATCCACTTTGGCATCAGTTCTTTCATCCTAATTGATAACATTCTTGCATATAACTTTGTATCAATATTTAATAATGATATAGGTCTATAGCTGGCGCATTGCACACAGTCTTTCCCTTATTTGAGTATGATTGTTATATATGCTTCAATGATTCCACTCTCATCCCCAGCTCTTCTCCTAACGCGTTCATATGTGCGCTTAATCTAGGCACCAGTATATCTTTACATTTCTTATAGTAACCCATCGTATAACCATCAGAACCTTGACTCTTTCCCGCTGCCGGACTCTTCAATGCCAAAATAATTTCCTCCTGGGAGATTACTCTCTCTAGGGCCTCTAACTTTTCTTCTGGGACTCTTGGTAGACCCACCTCCTTTAGATATTTCTGCCTTTTTTCCTTCCTTTCCTCCTCTGTTTTTTTCCGGTCCCCATTCTTTACATCATTCAACCTGCTACAGTATTTTATATATTAGCAATGTCAGTGGTGGAATATACCAATTCTCTTTTTTCATCTTTAATTTTTTTTTCTATATAAAATTCTTTGATTTCTTTTCATTAGCAATTTCCCAGGTCGATTCCTCCACTGATACCACCGTTCCTTTGAGACCCTATTAAGGATCCTCCTTGTTTCCACTTCCATAAGATCTTTTAGTTCTTCTATTTTAAGTATTTCTGAGTCTAGTTTCTTTTTGTGCAACTGTTCCAAGTTATACAACTCCTCCATCACCAACTTTATTTTTTTTCTCCTGGTCTTTCTTTGTTTCAGCCCCCATCGAGATCCAAATTACAATGGAATGGTTTAGATCAAAGCATATTCATGTGTTAGAATGGCCCAGTCAAAGTCCAGACCTAAATCCAATTGAGAATCTCTGGCAAGACTTGAAAAATGCTGTTCACAGATGCTCTCTATCCAATCTGACAGAGCTTGAGCTATTTTGCAAAGAAGAATGGGCAAAAATTTTCACTCTCTAGACGTGCAAAGCTGACATACAGACATACCCAAAAAGACTTGCAGCTGTAATTGCAGTGAAAGGTGGTTCTACAAAAGTATTGACCCCGGGGGGGAGGGGGGGCTGAATACAAATGCATGCCACACTTTTCAGATATTTATTTGTAAATTTTAAAATCCATTTATCATTTCCCTTCCACTTCACAATTATGTGCCACTTTGTGTTGGTCTATCACATAAAATCCCAATAAAATATATTTATGTTTTTGGTTGTAACAAAATGTGGAAAATTTCAAGGGGTGTGAATGTTAAGGAAGCTAAGGGTTTGACAGCCAACAGCCTTCTAGCAACCAGTGACACCGCAGTGGGTGGAATACTAGTTCCCTATCAGGTCCACTTGCCTTGTAATTGACAGCGGGCAATGGGAGGATTCTATAGCCAGTAGCAGGCTATTGGCAAAGAATACGCCCACTACCTGTCATTCAAAAGGGGTACGGAATGGATGGGGTCTGAATTCCCATAGGACTCTGCCCACCCAACTAAAATAAAACTCCCTGCTGTTGCTCGTACAGTTGCATTGAGACACAGTTGCATTGACGATGAAGTGTCCACATCGATGCTTCAGTCTCAACTCCACACTGGGTGCTTGCCACAGATTCATGGGCTTGTCTACAACTGGTACAGTACATGAATCTGTCACCTGCACCAACATTTGTCTTTTGGAGGCACAGCAAAATTCTAAAGAGTATCCTAGACACTATGAATTCCTCTCTAGGGGCTGCAGAAAAATGGCAGCAGGAGCTTTGGACCGAAGTTAAAATGTGAAAATCTTCAGCAAGTTGTCTGGAAACTGCAGGGTAACATCCATTGTTTTATTGTAGAGATAATGGTTAATCTCCCATACCCTCAAAACTTCTGAGGGAATGGGAAGAGTTGGAGGGCGGGGGGAGTATGTATAATAAATTTATATTTTTACCATTAACACATTTTCCTCAAAGATATAAGAAACTAACTTAAAGAGTCATTTGACAGATTTACTGAAACTGAAGCATTCAGAATCTGGTGCAGCTGTGCATGGTAGCCAATCAGCTTCTAACTTCAGCTTGTCCAATTAAGCTTTAGCAATAAAACCTGGAAGCTGATTTTGCACTCTCCAGTTTTAGTAAATACCATTGCCTTTCCAGGGGAAAAGTGACAATGCTGTGTTAATCATTTTACCACTTTATACTCATTTCTCCAGAGCTTTCCCCACCCTCCATATGACAGTACTTGGCCATAGCAATTGGACTAATGCATCAAGGGAGAAAGTCGCATGCTCTGCCATAGCTGGACGCACCCAGTATTTAGTAGCGACAACCATAGAAAAAAAAAAAAAAAGGGAGGCAGTGAGCACTGAAGAGGACAGTATAAAGTGGTCGGGGGTGTGCTTTATGCAGACGGTGTCACATTTCCCTAAATCCTACATGATAGTATTAAAAAAAGAAATTCAGGGATAGCCTGTGAAAGAAACGGCTGTCCATTGGCAGATAAGTTAAAATGTTGCACTTTTAAAATGTTCCCAGTTCCCCTACTATTTTACATTACCAGCGTGCCCCCCCCCCCCCCCCCATCCCCCTTTACCCATGGCCCCTGCTGTATCTGTGCCCTTCTGTAATTATGGGATATCCCTTCTTTGGTTTTGTGGAATTCTGAAGCACTGAAATCTATGAAGGCCCTATGGTGTTGTAATGGTTAATGAGAACCCAATGGAGTATGTGGAAATAATGTACTTTGAGTCTTTAAGAAAATGTTAATTTTTGGGCTCTTTGGCTAGATATCAATCTCTTCTCCAGTTGGACCTTCTGCCCTGTTAAAGGTTAAGAGGGTTTATAATAATTGAATTGGTCTACATAAAATAGTGCTTCATACCCTTGGACACAGTTCTTCTGTGTAAAAATTAAAGCAATACACAGTTCAAGACATTAAATAATTGGGTGATATTAACCTGAAACTGACTTATTTCATTATTAAAAGGATGAAAGATACATTCAATAAAATAAAAAAAAAATATGGAAGTAGCTCAGAATGTATGATTAAACAACAATGAGGTAGGGCAGGGGCAACTTAAAAAAAAAAAAAAAAAAAAAAAAGAGAAAGAAAAGAAGGATCCCTGGCATCACTTCAGACACACTTATGCTAGGTACACACAGATTGAATATCGTTCCAGCTAAGCAAGAACTGGGCAAGATTCTGGCCATGTGTTCTGCTGTTCTTCCAACAGAAGCCGGTCTTGTCGAAGAGACGTTCTGGAAAGCCAGCGCCAATCAATGGCTGCAATCGCCAATTAGTGTGTTCTGGTGGGGAAGGGGGTGGAGTCCCCCAACAGAACACAAAGAAAGCAGGAGATCTCTGCACTGTACATCGTTTGTGTAGTACAGCGATCTCTCAGCAGGGTTGAAGGAAAAAAACCTGAATGTCTGTACCAGGAAATTAGCCCTTGCTCATTCCTGCATTCCAGTTGTGAGCTAGCCTTTGAAGCAGGCTACCCTATAGGATACCCAGATATCTTTGTTGACAACATTTAAGCAGAAAACCTTATCCATAGTGTGTTTAAAAATGGAACTTTACCCATAACTTGGAGGAAAAAAAAAGGTTTGTTAGCAAGAGCGAACAGTTAGAACATTCCACATTAATTATGCTACCAAAATTATTGTGTGCTGTAAATTGCCTCCAGAGTTGTCCACTTATGTTAATGTTTTACATAGCTATACCTG